GAATGCTCACGGGCCTGTAAACCAAGCTGCACTCTGCCATGTATCCAGTTGCAGTGATTTGTGTGGAAATAACTGGGAATGACCGAAATGCTTCTAAAGTGTCGGTATTTTGTAATTATTCAAATTCAGCATGAAGCTCATTACATATTCTACTAAATAGCTACCAATTAACTGAGCTAACAGTTATTAAATGTATTTATTCACAATCATATATTATGTGAAGCTTTAAATTTAAATTATAAATTTATAATTATATTAAATTTTATACAAATTTAAATTTGCGCTTAAATATTTATCTTACTAGTCTATTTTGTTTTCTGATATAAATATTTCATGTTTTAAACTGTAGTTCCTAATGGTATACCTTTAAGTTTTTATTTTTTCAATCTATTGGAATATATTATATTTATTATAAGTAAATATGAGCTATGATATGAACTGCTTTACAGCTATACACAAAAATCAATTGATTAAAGCAATGACTTAAACCAAACCAACCGAAGATTTATTTTAAATTTGTTGTAGCACAATATTAAGAATCAATCTCATAGTTGACAAGTTCAGTTTGACTAATTGATGGTTTCCACTTCTTTACTGTGTCGAAAAATGAATTGATTGAGACTGTGATTTAATTTCCACCTTGAAGGGTCCTTCTTCTGAGCAACTGCCGAATGTCGCACTCAGAAATCACATAATTGCTCTCTGGCCTGTCCCGAGCCACCTCTGCCCATTACCCTTGCCCTCCGTTCCCCCTTCGTGGACATCAACGTCATGGTCTCAATATCCTGCCATCCATCCACTTTTCCTCTTTCATCTCTTTGTGCCGGGCTCACATGACGCCCCTCGTCGAATCATCTGCAGTGCTCAGTCATGTATGCTCTGCCAACTGATTTGAGCTGGAGCCATCGACCAGGTCCCGACGGTGGAATCCTCGAAGGTGGCCAGCCACACTCCTTGGACTCCTGCTCTATTTGCTTTAATCAGTGTAGCCAAGCGGCGAGCTAATCGTTTATGATTTAGTTTTGATTCGCTCGCCGAAATAACCATAAACCGGATGAAGCTTCAGGACACCAGATACCCCATGCCGTCTAAAGTCCCCAATCCCCGCCTGGAATGCTGCTGCACCGCCACACGGAAGCCCAGTGAAACCGCTGCTCTGTGTGTTTTCGACTATAAAATTAAATTGCGATGTGGTGGAAAAGTTAGAGCAATGCCCAGTGCAACAAACACAACAACAAACTGTTCCTTACTGCCCCACATTTGGTCAAACACACACACACACACACACACACTGCCGCATAGATACCAAAAATGGGAATGGTATAGTGGGGGGAAAAAAGTGCAGCAGTGAACAATTGTTCAGTGCATATCATTTGGTTAAAAGGATTCGTTTTACTCTTCCGTGTGGTTCGGACTCCAGTTCCCGCCCCAAACAGACCGTGTGTGTGTGTGTGTGTGTGTGTGTGTGTGTGTGCAAGTGTGTACAAATCAACTAATCTGCTCCCCACGGCAAAGTTACGAGAAGACCGACAATTATATCCGCTCTCTGCTCACAATTTTTGCATGTCGTAAAGTTTCTAGTGGTGCACAGCTCGAATTCACTCCGCTTCCAGTTAGTACCCCACCCCTCCCCCATTTTGCCCCACATGTCCGTATGTATATGGCTGCAGTTTGGCCCTAACCGACGCTCTAACGGAACTGAAATGGCAACTAACACACGTTAGCTGAATTTTTTGAATGCCCTTTCCCGGTTTTATTTTCCTTTTGGGGGAAATGCTAGGAAATTCGTTGTGACGCAGGAAACAATTGGATTGATGTCCCCTGGGTGACAAGAAAGTAATACAGTGGAAAATGTATAGTTCTAAGTCTTTAAGCCGAACTAGGCTTACTGGAAATATGAAGTAGAAACACCCATATATTTTACATATCCCTTAAACCTTTACAAATTTAAATTGTAAATTTGAAAAGAAACAAAAACCATCTATTATATTTTAAATAAATGTTTAAATATTGTTAACTAAGCTAAAATTTATTAACAGATAATAGCTTTAAACATTTCATTAAACAAAAACCTTTTCACAAATAGCAAAATTAAAATATATCTAGAAAAATGGAATGACCCAAAAACCCATATTTAATTTGTTTTATAAGAAAATATAAATTTAAAAATAAATGAGTAAAAACGTATTTATTTTCTTTTAATAACCAAAGGCTATTTTTCTTCAAAAGAGCATTTTAATTTCGCCAATTTCATTTAATTTCAAGCATATCCAATGCTGTTGCATACTTTCAGGAGCGGTGAGCTGCACTGCCCGTGGATGTGTATCTACGCCTGTGTGTCTGCATCTGTATCCGTGTATCCTTGCTGCCAGGACTGTTGTGCCGAGTGTGAATCTGCCCTGGTATTACTGTTTGTATTGCAAAAGTTGTTGTAACTTCGTTAAAATAAGCACTCTGTTAGTTTGCCCGCTGGCGCGACGGGAAGCGTCCCCTTTCTCGTTTCCCAGTTTCTATTCCACACCTCCTTCCCAGGATTTTCGAGTCTGTGTAAATGTGTGTGTGTGTGTGTTAGGGCAATGCAGCAGATTTGTCGGCGGTTTTTGCCATTACTGCTACACCGGCTAGTCCTGCTAGTCCCGCCTTCCCCTTCGCCCCTCTGCAATCCCCGATAGTTGGCATATCTGCATTAGTTATGGTGAGTGGCGGCGAGTGCCAGGCAAATTGGGTGGATTTGGATTTACCTGCTCGTCGCCGGGTTTGACAGCCAAGTGTGCTCTGCCCAATTCCTCCAGACCCCCAAACCCCCAGTCCTCTGTTCCTGTTGCCCATACACAAACTCCTTCGTATTTTACCCCAATGTGTTGCAACATGCCTGCGAGGTAAACTTAACGTTTAGTTTTTCGGGCGTCAGCTCCTTGGTGGCTATTAAATTCCTGCAACTCCTAATGGCGCTCCCCAAGCAGCCAACTTCCTTTCACTTTCGCCTGAGATGTGGCTGAAACAATATCGATACTTGTTAGGCAGGATACAGGTAAAAACAGTAAGTAGTAGTATGTGCTACCGACTGCAGTATGTGTACACCGAACAAAAATGTTCAAGGAATTTGGACAAAATATATTTACTGTTTCATAAGCTGAAACCCATAAGTTCTGATTTTTTACTATTGGAAAAGAGGACTAACGGAGGGAACTTGCAAGTTGAAGCCCCCCACTAGACAACAAAATATTATTTTAATATCCTCTCAAATCATTTAACTTCCTATGTTTACTAACGGCTATTTTTGATTTCGTATTAAATTTGTAATTACCATCTTGAAAATGGTTAGTTTAAGAATAATTGGATAATTAAAATATAAATCAAAACACGCTCTAAGTAGTACAATATCAATGAGTTGACAATTGAATTACTATGGGTGCCATTTAAATAAATTGATTGCAAAAAAAATTTCTCTGTATTGTGTTTTAAAAATATTTTATTTATCAGGCTTATATATTTTTGGCTGTGCAGCAGGTTTTAATAGCCGGTGCAGTTGCCGCTGCAGCTGCAGTCGCAATCCCCACCGACAACTTGTACTTAGTGCCGCTTCCTTCCGCCCAACACGGCAAATGGCGAGGGGAAAACTGCAAAAGGCGAGCGGAGGAAAGTGGCGTATGTGCAAGAGGGGGATTTCGTACACCCGGGCACGGAAAAACAGCTCGTCGTCGGCAGGACTGTCTGAAATGCAATTAAGTCGCATCGACATGCAATCTCCGGCATGGGGAGACCGGGCCGCATAAAGGACTCCGCAGGAACAACAAGAACAACCATGCAGGCCCATGATTCGCGGCTATACACATCGACGGAAAGGAAGCGGGCGAAGAGGAAAGCCTTAAAAGCGCTGAAAGGTTTCAGTTATCCCCTAAAAAAAAAACACACGCACTCGAACAACAAGGAACACCGCACACAAGCTGAAAAGGGAATCCGGCTTGACGAGCCTGAAAATACCCTCAAAGGGGCATCAGTGGTTGGGATTATTTAAAGAGCAGCTTCTCGGGCGGTCTGTTGTAATTTTTTTAATGAATATGAAAAGGCAAAAAATATTTTTACACAATGTCGTTGCAAGCTAAAGTTTACTACTTTACTGTTTAATTTACAACATTATTAAATTATTTATTTAAAGTATAAAGATCCAAGAGCTTAAATGCATTTTTCAACAATTGGGTATATAGTAAAAAAACGTTTGAATATAGGCACACCCAATCTGGAGTACGTTATTCTTCTGTTTTGGTAAGACTTATAAATGTTGATGGCATATTGCTTTATAGACAATCATTTTGTACAAAAAAGAAATTGATAATTCGTTTTTGGCCACACTTTATTATTTTTTCTAACAAGTTTGCATAAGTCTTTCAAAAATGACCAATTAATTGTGACCAAAGGGTATTCACGGATTGCAGCACATGTCAAGCAAAAGGTTATTCCGTCGGGGGTGGCGAAAAAGATCTGGTTGCAATGGAATGCACTCGTTGAAACACTTTCGAGCGCCGATAATCCAATTATGGCCTGACCAGGGGTTCCTCAGCCACTGCGGCTCCTTGTAAATTCGCTGCTCGTTTCCTCTCTGCTGTATTTATGGGCGGCAGATGGGGAAAGTGCTACATGTTGGGAGGCGAGAGTCGTGCCACCTGGGGCAACCGCGTCTCCCGCACATAATTTCCCGCAACTTATTTTGCCCCGAGTCAAGTTTCACACTAAAATGTGTAAAAGGGTCAACAGCTGCAGGGCACCCAGATCCGGATCTGGAGTTGGAGCAACCTGAACACGAGTCCTTATTGCGGGCTAATCTCTGGGGTCTGCGGCTGATGGGGGGGTCAAAACAAAACAATGGGGATGTGAACACTTTTGTCACCAAATCGATACTAAAACGGAAACTATAACCAATTCCCATCAACGTTAAACACAAAGGGTTAATATTTCTAGCATTTTTATATTTATTTCATATTCAATTTTCTGTGTCGATATTCATTTTCTGTTTTCCATTCACTACTTTAACTTCTCCTTTTTTAAATTTCGTATTTTTTAGCCGCTGTGTATTAAATGAAAAAATAATTGGAAATAAAGGCTGGCTTGAATAAACATAATGAACATTCCATTCCGTTTGCGATATGTACAATATTATTTGATAAAAATTCCATTTTGGTTTTTGTTTTGTTTGGGCTGTTGGGGTTGGGTGAAAAACTTAAATAATGGTTAGGTAAAAAATTGCATTACCAGCAGCTTTTTCAAAGTGTTTGTTTTGCCATAATTCATTTGTTCACTTTGTCTCATTCAATAGTTTATTTATCAATATCATTATTATTTTACTTGTGCATTTTGCATCATCGTCGTGTAAACAACTACAATTAGTATCACGATTGTCATTGTTGTAACTGAAATAATATAAAAAGGTGGAAATAAAAAAATTCAATGAATTGGTGAGTAATGAACGAAAAAAACAAAGGGAAAGTTTTTATTTTGTAATTTATTCCTCTCCGTTAAATTGCTTGGAGTTGTGTATGTCTGTATATGACACGATTATGTTTTTCATTATTTTACCATTATTATTCTTTTTTGCCAAACTGATATGTACTTATATATGTCTGCATGTTGTGTTGTTAAAATTTGACTGCCCGCAAAGTTTGCAAACTGTTTTTCTAGTTTTGCTGTTAGTTGTGCAATGTTCGCTACTCTTGCTTAAAAAACCATTGATAATTGCTATCCAATAATTGTTTATATTATTAGTATATATCGTTATATATATATCTCGATTTATCTAAATGTGTATTTATATTTATAATTAATGTACTTATTGGCCTTGTCTAAATTGTAAATTATAGGCAAATAAAACTAGACTTCATATTATTAGTTTCGTTTGCGAATTCTTTTTAAAAATAGTTATGTAACTATTATTAACAACTTACGATTCTAGGTTGATCTATGGAGATGCAAAACTGTTTATTAACTAGGCTCTAAATGTGTGAGTGTGTTAGGAATCATCATATGTTCGCTGGTGTATGTATGGTTCTGTGTACGTAATCAATTGCATTAATTACTTCAAATGTTGGCCAAGACACAACGTCATGCATTGGGCGACAAAAGGAGAAGGGTAAAGGGCAGTTTATTCGGATGAATAAGTTTCAAGTTTAGACAACTATGTAAGTTTAACTTTTTGCTGGAAGTCTCTGAGCGGAAGAAATTACTTTTGGTGACGAGCTTAATACATTTTCTCAATAAAAATTAGAGTCAGTAGTTGGAAGAAACTTGAACGTAAAACTGAAAAGTCTATCAGCCCAGCACATGACTTGTCCCACTACTTATAAATATACTTTGTTCGTATTTATATAAAACTTATAAATTACGAGTGGACATAAACCGATTTGCTTGTCTTTCAATTAACTGTATCTTTATTGTTACGGGGCTGCCTCTCACAATTAGCTAAATCCCAAAAATTCGTAGCTACCGATTAGTTTAAGGTTTTATGTATATTTATATATGTACATATCATACAAGTGACCGTCAGTTGGTTATCTTCAGGAGCGGAGTCAGTTAGGACGGCCACCTCCTCCTCCCGTTCGAAGTGCAAAGAACATACTTCTCCGGCAACTAAAGCCAACATCAGAGGGTCATGGTGGTCATCACAGCGGGCAGCAGAAGTGCCATCGCGAAGGACAACAGGAATATCCGCTGGCCGGAACTGCTCAGTGCGCTGGCCTGGCACAGCAGATCCTCGGGAAAGATCTCCAGGATGGGCAGGTGCCGACCGGATGTCGGATCGTGGCAGGTGTTGGCACGGGCGCGCTGAGGAAATTAAAAGGATTCTCATTAGGCGACTACAAAAGATTTATAATAAAAATTCAAAATAAAATAGACTTCGATTGTCCGAAGTTTGGATATAATTGCAAAGCTTAAATGAAAATTAATTGAACCTTACTAAGGCAGAAAATTTATAGCTAGCTGTTATTGGTAAATCAGTAATATTTATTAGAAATTATAAATTGAATCGAAAACTGAACCTACAAATCATACTTAGTGTCAAATTTATTGTTTTGAATGCTTGAACAAAAAGTTTGGTTAAATATAACAGACAAAATTTAAGAGGTATAGATTTAAAAAAATAATGAAATATTGCAATACCCCAAATTTAAAAAAAATAAACAATGAGATTATTTACTGCTATTATAAGAAAACTAAATTTAAATTTCGAATAATGTGAGTTTCAACGAATATATAAACTTATTTATTTAGCCAATGAAAAATAATATTTTCCACCTTGCAAAAATACCCTTAAATAAGGAGTATTAAAAACATATAAAAGCTTACGCGCATATCGGCAATCGATAGGGGTAACTTTTGGCCAAAAATCAAGATTTACACAAGGTTAAAGATAATGTGAAGCAGGGAAAAGTCAGGCAGACCGACTCACCTGAACCATGCGCTTGAGGTCGTCCTTCTGGATGACCTTGATCTGGGCGGATTCCCTCAGCCATCGTCGCAGCCAGTGGCCAAACCAGACCAGCCCGCACTCGCACTCCAGCGGATTGTGGGCGGTGATGAGGCCGCCCATGATGCTCCGTGTTCCCACGGCATCCCAGTAGCTCTTGTTCGGATAGAAACTGTCGGCGGCCAGGGCGTTGATGCGATTGTGCGAGATGTCGATGGACAGGTGAGGCACCTCGCGCAGGGCGTAGAAGATGCCCGGCGGCAGGTCGGAGATGCGGGTGTGCGAGATCTTCACCTGCAGCCGCTGGTTGCGCGACAGTCCGGTAAAGACATCCGGAGCGATGGTCTGCACATTGCCGCCATAAAGCTCGAGTAGCCGGATTTTCGTGTTATTCGCCAGCCTGGCGAAGAGCTGCTGCCCAATGTTCGGCTCCAGGCAGTGCACCCTCAATTGCTGCAGACCCGGCATCCTGGACACAATCTCGCCGAGATTCGCATGCGAACTGGCATGCAGCTTCCTCAGCGAACGCAGCTTGGCGAAGGCCTGCGGATTGGTCACCTTCACATCCAGGATATTCAGCTCGGCCAGGTGCCGCAAACTGGCCAGATCGTGCAACGTTATCCGGCGCAGTGGATTGTGGGCCAGGTCCAACACTCTAACCGAAGGCGGCAGGTGCTCTGCCGCACAACTGGCATTTGTGAGTTTGTTGTGCGACACATTGACGTGACGCAGATGTCGCAGGGAACCCAGTGGTGACAGCTCCTGCAGATAGTTACCACTTACGTCCAGGTAGGAGAGCAGGGGCAGCTTCAGCGGCGGCAGGACATACAGGCCCATGTGGTGCAGGCTGAGTTTCCTCAGGCGCGGCGTGTGCACGAACACCTCGCGCAGGTTGGTGGTAACCAGGGGATTCTGTGACAGGTCCAGGTTGGTCAGATTGTTCAGGAAACTGAACGTATTGTCCGGCAGAATGGTGATGCGGTTGCGGGCCAAACTGATGTCGTACAGGAACTGCGAGTTGACGAACATCGAGGCGTCCAGGTACTCCAGATTGTTGTGGGACATCTGGATGGAGCGTAGGGTGAACCCGATGTCCGTGAAGGCCGGCACTGGCCACACACTCAACTGATTGTCGGCTATGTCCAGGAACTCCAGGCGAGTGTTCATGAACACCTCCCGCGGCAGTGCCCTCAACCGATTCGAATTGATGCGCAGGACTCGCAGTTTCCGCAGATTCGAGAACTGTTCCACCTGTAACTGGTCCAATTGATTGTGACTCAGATCCAGTTCCTGCAGGCTGTTCAAGCCCTGAAAACTGCGACGCCTCAGCGAGGTGAGATTATTGTGGGCCGCATTGAGGATCTCCAGGAACTCCAAGTCCCCGAAGGCGTGGCTCTGCAGAGATCCCAGCTGGTTGTGGGCCAGGTTGAGGAACCGCAGCGTGTTGGCCAGGTTCGTAAAGCTATCCGACTTGGTCACATGGTTGTGACTGATGTCCAGCTGGTAGATGTACATGTAGCTGCTCAGCTCGTCGTAAAAGCTGTTTATGTGATTGTGGCTCACATTGAGGCGCAGTGGCGTGGTAGTATTGGAAACATAGAGGAAGGACTTCAAGGACAGTGAGCACAATTGATTGTGCATCAGATCCAGGGCAGCCAGATTGGGCAGAACCGTGAAGGCTCCGTGGGAGATGTTGACCAGACGGTTGTGTGACAAGTCCAAGTAGCGTAGGAACTCCAGGTTGTGAAAGGCGTGGCGGGCTATTGTCCTCAGGCGGTTCGATTGCAGATTGAGTGTCTGCAAATCCCCGAGGCTATGAAACGTCTGCGCCTCCAGTCGCTCCAGGGCATTGTAGGATAAATCAATTTCCACCAGGTGGCTGTGAACATCGGACTGAAAGAGTCCGTGGGGCAGTGTTTTCAGCTGGTTGAAGCTCAGATTGATGTAGCTCAGTTCCCTCATCTGTGCGAAGGACTCATTGGAGACGTGCTTCAGGTTGTTATTGTCCAGACCCAGCCAAATGAGCTGGGAAAGCGGCAACAGGGCATCCAGTGGATCGAGACTCTCTAGACTTCTGGCAGGAAAGACGGCGAACGAGAGTTCCAGAATTTTGAGAGTCTTGGAGACATTCTCAAAAACCAGCGGATGATGTATAGTGATGTCGTTAAAACTCAAACTAATCTCCTGAATCTGCTCGAGTCCCGCAAAGGAGCCCAGGTGGAGATGGGTAATCTTGTTATTCCGCAGTAGAATAGTCTGCAGATTGCTGCCCCAGGAATCCACGGCAAATATGCCCTCGGGGATGTCCGGAATGGAGTTGTAACCCATGTTCAAGTAAGACAGTTGTGTGTAGTTTTTCAGGCCAAGAACGGGGATCATTGTGAAGTTATTACCACTCAGACTAAGTACGCGGAGATTTTCGGTGAACGAGGGAAGATTGCTGAGCTGACTTATCTGATTGGAAGTCAGGTAGAGGTATTTCAGGTGGTGCAACGAGGATAGGGCCACCGGCACCGTGGTGAGACGATTCCTCTCGAGATCCAAGTACTCCAGAGTTTCCGTTAGGCCCTCAAAAGCCGAAGGATGCACGCGACTGATCGCATTGAAGGCTAGTACCAGGTGGGCTATGCCCGTGGCCTTGAATACCGCCTCCGGCAACTGGGTCACGAAGTTCTGCTCCAGATTTAGGGCCCTTAGATGAACATCCGAGTAGTTCTGCTGGAAATAATCCGATTCCAGGCTTTCAATGCAGTTCTGGCCCAGATCCAGGCGTTCCAGGTGCATTCGCAGCGGTCTCACTTGCAGTTCCTTCCACTGCACACTTCGCAACAGGTTATCCCTCAGGCTTACAATACGCAACTCCGGCAGTTGTTCGAAGAGTTGCTGGGGGAAGACCGTGAGCAGATTGCTGGACAAGTCCATGGTCACCAAGGATCGTGGAAGGTAGTTCCCAGCCACGTGATATATACGATTGTTGGACAGATCCAACCAGAGTAGTTTCTGCAGCTGCTCGAAGGGACGACCCCCTGCCATTCGGTCACCGGAACTGGGTGACGGTGGGTAAAGGGAATTACTCGTCTCCAATCTCGTCTGCACGGCGGCCAAGCTCGATGGCTGGGAACTGCTGTCGTTCTGGGAAACCACCTCCATCGATCCACCTCCGGGCGCCACTTCCGTAATATCATTGTCGGACAAATGAAGCGATCGGAGGGTATCGTGCTGGGCATCCCAATTGCCATCCAAGGTGGTTATGTGGTTGCTGTAAGAAGATTTAATTTCAATTTTAAATTTATAAAATATTGATTGGTTTTTACACCATTGTTGTCTAATTGAATTTTTGTCACTATTCACAAAAAAAACTGTATTTAGAAACTGCATGGTTAAGGCATGTTGCTTTATACAATTCTTAGGAAAGTAACTAACTGAGTTAATATTTTCTTGTTATATTTAAAATATAGGAAATACTTGTTAACCACTTAATTGTTTTTCGGTGAGACGTTGTTTTAAAGGCGAGTTACAACAATAAAACATTATAAATTGAACGTAAATATAATTTAATTTAATTAAATGTTTATTTACATATTAAGTATAAGTGCAGAAAATGACTACCCCTCCATCGCTTAATGTAAAGTGTAGTTCTAAGTTAGAAGGATGTATACCAGTACTTGGCTTCGAATAACCTTGAAACTGGAAATCTTCAAACTTACCGTTGCGCCACCAGTCGCGATAGGGAATGCAATCGCTGCAGTGCATCCAGTGGCAAGTGCTGCATCTTGTTGCCAGAGATATCCAATGTCATCAGCGAGTGTGTCATCGTGCTGCAAAGGGAGATATGAGATGAGAACGAGGGCGAGAGAACGAGAAGCCTATATGATTATCATCTAAATCATTCCGCACGAGCTGCAGGGGGGACTAGTTATCAAAAATATATAATGTCTAAAACTTTCACTAAAACTTTTGTTCACAACTATCAACAGTTTCCGCTTGGGGTCGACGTCATCCCCTCATCAACATCCCCATCCCGTGGCTCATATAAATTGACGTGCTGCCTGCCTTTTGACATATCCTACACACAAGTCGGAAAACAAATATTTAAACTTAATTAACGCGTAGCAACGGCGACCCGGGCGACCCCAGCTGCCTTATCCTCCCAGACCCCAGTTCCACTTCCCAGCTCCCAGTTCCCCGTATTTCTCATTCCACTTCCTCTCTAGGCTCCATTAATAGTTATACACACGCACCGCAAACTTATACAAACACACACACACATATGCAGGAGTGGACCACAGTGAAACTTAAACTTTATAATGTTTTTAAAAGGTGCTTTTAGTGCCCGTAAGGCATGCGTAAAAAAAAGTTTCAAAATGGCTCTTCATGCTTGCAAGATGCTAATGAAGTTTGTCACGCAAACGCACTTTTATTAAACCTCATTTATTTGTTAAAAATTGTCGTTCACTTGACCTCCTCATCATAGAAATAAAAAATGTAAATACTCTTGTTAATGTGCTATTGAAGTCTAAAACTTTAATTGGTCTACGTGTCGTATAAGTAATTTTTTAATAATCATGGATAAAAAAAAATTGTTTAAGGACTCACTTTGTCACTAAGGACTAAATATTTTTAGAGTTTAGCAAACGCATTTCTGATTTCTTTAGGCTTTGATAGGTTGTGGCAAATTCTTAACAAGCCAGGCACTTCCACTGGTCAATGCGTCGTATGAGTAATATTTCTGAAATATTACTCATACGACGCATGTACGTTTTATTCTATATTAGTTGTTATATTTTGAAGGGAAGGTTCACCCTAATGTTCATAGTTTGCGAGTGCAAAGAGAAAACCAAACAGAGTTCGGGCGTAACAGCGACCTCAATTATGAAAACCACGAGGTTTTCCAAACAGGCTTCAGCCTCCTCTTTAACGGCCATAACAAAAAACAAGTGCAGCGGCATCCTTTTGTAGTTCTTGGTGTTGTTGATTTTGCCGCCGGTCCCCCGAAGTTGTTGTTATGCGACGAGGAATCAAACGCAAAACCAAATTTTTGCGGCTCCTTTTTAACCACTTCGGCTTTCTCTTTTCTGCCCTTTCCTCTTTCTTTTGCCATTTGCCGGTAGTTGTTATTCTGGCTTTCTTTGCGGGTGACATTTTAGGTTGCGTGTGTGCGTGATTCGGTTTGTGCGAGCGTGTTTGTCATCAAAAGCCTTCTAAATGACTATTGGTAACGAATTAGGAGTATAGCTGACTGTGAAAGGGTGCACAATCAGTATGTCCACTCACGGAAGAATAATACAATTAAAGTAAACATAACAGATTTCTTAGCTGATTTCTGATTTCACAGTTTTTTAAATGGCTTCATCAAATGTTACAATTGTGTAAATTTATAATTTATATTCAAAATACTACCAAAACTATCCAATTACAAATTAATAATGTTATTGCTCTGTTTCATTCAATAAGAAGAATCTATAAAAAGAGGATATAAAAACACTAAAACTTTTATTCAAGTAGGTATCGTGATATTTTACTACACTTTTTTTACACCAATTTAACTACGCTCAATAAAGTAACGCTCAAGTTACATAAGCTCAAGTTACATTAGGTTATCAATGGTATGTAGACATTTACATAAGCGCAAAAAAAGAAATTAAAATTATAAATTTATTCTGAATACTTTTTTATTACCTTTCTTCTATTCTAGTTATTTTCTTTTTGTTCTAGTTTTCCTGATAACCCCCCATTGGCATGTCATTTCGGTGTGTACATATGTACTGAATACATGGAATACCGGAGAAGTGCGCATTTATCGGCACTTTGCAACTGATCACGCAACAAACACGCAACACACAACAAACCAATCCATAAACAGACCCACATGAGGCTAGTGGCATATGTGTGCGTGTGTTTAATTTAGCAATGTAGCACTGTAAATTATTAATTAGCAATTTTTGATATACATAAGTGCTTAAATATTGATGAGAACTTTTACACATGGCATCATAGTCCGCAACCGAAATGAAATCAAGTCTTCTCTTGAGTGCTCCTTTTGTGGGTATTATAAAGGTACGCAAATGTATAAATAAAGTGGAAAGTTTAGTATATGTATATCCGTATGTATATGCGAATGAAACTGTCCAAACATGCGTCCAAAAATGGGTAACTGGTCAAACATGAACTAGAGTCAACAAAAGCAAATAAATACCAACACATTTTCTTACTAAAATAAGCTTAAACAAAAATTTATAACAAATATTTAAAAGTTACATTTTCTGATATTCCTGTAAAAGAAATTTTAATAATTCTGTAATCTTAATTAAACAAAAATAAAAAGTACAATTTTAAGCTATAAAACAAACCCATATATTAAACTAATAATCTTACCTACTTTAAAAATACTTTCCGGTACTCCAGATTAAAGTTTAAAGCTTAATTTAAATTCAACACTAATAAACCTCAGCTAAGAAGTGATACAGTCGTTTATTAATAACATTTTAATTAAGCAATTTAAATGCATATTTATAGCCGACGCTTATTTATATATACATGTTTGGTTTTATCAACTTGAGTGTTGCCCCAACTAACTTTTCTACTATTTGACATCGCTGGAGAAGTTTATTATAAAGACCGTTATAGGGGGTAAAAAGCGGTTATAGAAAATGAAGGAGGATGAGAGCGGTGAGTGTGGGTAAAGGTAGACTTTAACCACATTTGCCAGCCTTATGAGCATTAATTAGTTTGATTTAAATTCTTAATGCCGTCGGAGTGTGTAACTGTGTCTTTAGTTGACTCCCCTTCACATTCCTGCAGCGTGGAAACTGCACACAGCCGTTAACTGTGGGCATCCATTTAACTTTAGCAGCTTAATGTGTGTGCGGGTGGGCGGTCGCCTGCGGTTAAGGGGCGTGACCCCAACTCTGGTTATCCTTTGTGCTCGTTAAAAATTTTCGCGTTTCATTTCATGGCAACAAAAAGCGTATAAGATGAAGAGCAGAAAAAAAAACCGAAAAAGGCTGGCAAATGCGGTCGACTCTTTCCCACGATCTCTCCCTTTCGCTTCTACACACAAAATAACTTGGCCAATAGGGGGGCGAACAGAAAGCTCCAGCCACTGTCAAATGTGTGATGTGTAATGTGAACTGAATCACAAAACGCTGACGAAATAAGAGCTTGCATTCACTGTACTACAGTCAGCACAACAAGCACATTTCCCCAAATGTACGTTAACTTTTTCTCTATTTACCTGTTTACACTTTAAAAGGTTTTCACGAATTGTTAGCCAAAAATAAACCGATTTATTATTCAAGAATTTACTTTATTACTTTGCTTTTACTCTTGGGATATGAATTGGCTAAATAGCAACAAAAAAACTATGAATCTTACTATACTTACTTACAATAAAATAAATTATTAAGGGTACAATTTTTTAAATTTCTTAAGAATTTACTGTTCTACTTAAAAAATAAAGTACACAATTTTCTACCACATTATATTTTTTCAGCGTAGAGCATTTATTTGTTCAGAGTTAGCATTTAAATTTTCCTTTTCCCTCTCCATATCTTGCTCTCCTTTTCTCTTTTTGTGATTATTTACACTCAAACAAATAGCGCTTGAAAGTTTTTCATTTTCGCTGGATTTTTTGCGTTTTCCGCTGCGTGTGTGAGTTTGCATTTTCCGCTTGCATTTTCAGCCTGAGTGCCCCGCTGAAAATGCCGCGCCACCACCCCTCCTCGCTTTGTTAAACTTAATTTTACGCCTTTTTTACAACTTGCAGGTTTATGTTGTAAAAATATACAAAGCACTCTTCACTCGCAGACACACGCATGCACACACTCTCACGCGCCCAGGTGAAAAAGGGGTCATGTAAATAGGCCGGCCAACTGTCCTGTCATCATTTCCCCCAGTGCCAGGTGTGCGTTGGGGTCACCATCGTGACTCGTCACCCGTGGGGACGGGCACTCACCTGAAACTCCGCTCGGATATGTCCTGCAGTTCGTTGTCGATTAGCTTCAGTGTCTTGAGACGCAGTCCCTGGAAGGTCTCATCGTCGACGCTTTGCAGATGAGTGTTGGACATTTCGATGTAGCGCACACTGCTATGCATGAACTCTGCAGAGAAAAGGAAATGTGAAAAATATGAAAAATATGAAAAATATTACACGTTTCACGAAACAAAGGTTCAGGAGGAATATGATAAGTCTGCGTCACGGAAGTCTTTTCAGCCAAATTTAAGTTTACCAAACCGTGGCCTTTAAATAGAAAAGTGTTTGAACAGTTTTTGCACTAAAAGAACACCAAGAAGCTCACATGAAGGGCAATTTCCTTTTTTTAATGTTTAAAGACCCTACTTCATAAAATTATTTAAACAAAATAGAAGAAAAACAAGAGAGAACGCTATAGTCGGGTGCCCCGACTATCAGTTACTCAGGTAAAGGGAGTGCGAGGGAGATGGAGATAGAAACTTTGATCACGCATAACTTTTTAACGAATGGTCCGATTTGAAAAATTTCTTCTACATTTCGATAGGTATTGATAAACACAACAAAACTGCATTTTTACTTTTCCGAAATATTTAAATTTTTAAAATCGTATATAAGCGATTGTGGGCGTTAAAGGGGGCGTGGCACCTTTTTGAAACAAACTTGCACTGCGTAGGAACTCCTAGAATCTGCATGCAAAATGCCAATCTTCTAGCTTTTATAGTTTCCGAGCTCAGCGTTCATACGGACAGACAGACAGACAGACGGACAGACAAACGGACAGACAGACGGACATGGCTATATCGACTCGGCTAGTGATCCTGAACAAGAATATATATACTTTATAGGGTCGGAAACGCTTCCTTCTACCTGTTACATACTTTTGCACGAATACAATATACACTTTCACTCTACGAGTAACGGGTATAATTATATTTTGTATATTTTTTGATTCTTTCTCGGCCGAATGTCTCGATATCTTCTTTAAACTTATAAATAATAATGACTCTGAAAAATTTTAAATAAAATTGTAATCAATTTAACAACTTGAAGTTTCTTTAAATTTAATTACTCCCTGGCATATGTAATTTCTAAGCTTATTTTACTGCTTGTCTCTTTTATTACAAATACTTGAAAGCCACAACGATTTTCTCCGTGCCTGTCGGGAAATTGGTTTGATATTGGAGGCACTCGAGCATCCGAGTCGCTTCACAAAGTGAGAGAGCTCGACGCGATGTTGGCCATCAGTTCATCATTCAAATTGATTTTAAACGGCATTCGAAGCGTTTACCATAAACAAGGGAATATGCCCGGAACGGACCATCGTCAATTCCCTATGCCGCTCGATACATAGATGTCTCTCCCCGTCTAACGATGATGGCTTTTGTTTTGGCAGTTTTGATCGCCAGCGCGTTAAGGCAAATGGGTCATCAGCGTGCCATCAGACAATGGACCCACTACCCACCGAATCGACGGACCGAAGGAGCGTGGCCATGGCCTGTAGCCCAAAACCAACTCCCCGCTGGCGATGGAGCCACGCTTTCGATTTTTGTGCGCGTTTTCCGGTCGGGCCAGAGGCTCAGCATCCGGGCAGTGCCTGCAGGAAAGAAACCGACCCACCAGCGACCAAAAAAGGCAACAAATTTCATTTTATGGCTGTGCCAAAGACAGGAGACAGTGACATCTTGGCCAAGTATAACAATGAATCGCAACGTACTCGATTTCCTCGTTTTATGAAATTTTTATGGACCACAATGGCCAAATCGATTAAGGGAGTTAACAAAAAATGTTTTTAACTCCACATACGGTTAAGCTTTCAATTTGATTGAATAATATGAATTTTTAATTTGAAAAAAAATAATGAATAAAATTATGCTCGGGATTACTTAAACCTAAATGCAACTGCAATATGTCTAGGATGATTTAATTATCTTGACAACAAAAAAATCAAATGAAGGATATGTTTTCGTTGATTGAGAAAAAACAATTCAGCGATTTACAATTTTCAAATGTTTTTTCCTGAACGATTTCATGCATTTTGCATATTTTTTTCGGTCTTAATTCCCTGCCAGTCAAACCTCAACAAAGTTTCATCGGGAATCAGTGCGCTTTCACTTATTAAATATTCCATTGCGCACAAAAAAATAGGCAAACATAGAGCGATTGATTTTTGCACTCTCTGGCGCATTGAATATTTATAAGAAACAATCAATTGTTGGTCAGTTTTCGTTTTGTGCAGTATTTTTTCTCTTTGTCGAGATGCTTTGGTAGTGGAACTTTTTCAGTTTGAACTCATCAAATTGATGTTTAATTATTTCGCTCGGCAGTCAAGTTTGTCCCACTCCTTTTTTTCTGCCAAAACGTTGATGATCGAGTCAATCTCTGACAATCCTGGATTAGTAGCGAATTTCGCTTTGACTTTAATGTGGCCATGTTGTTCGTATTTAGTGCAGATACGCACACAGTGATATAAGCATGGAAACTACGGTGGAAAATCGGTTGAATAAAAAAAAATAGATACCCCTCCACTTTGGCCGGTCTAAAAAAAGCCCAAAAATGACAATACACAAAACAACGAACCGAAAAGAGAAGGAAATTTTTCAATTAAAAGCGAAAAGTGCATTTTCATGTTTCACGTCAGTTTCTCTTTCAGTTTTGTGGCAATTTTCTAGGAGAGACAGAGCGGTAAAGACCCGCCACTCGACCGAAAAATATTTACCATGTTGGCGGAAGGGTTAAGGTTGCAGGCGGTGGATAATGGCTGATGGCTGGTGGATTGTAGGAGGTGGGAGGTGGCATTCCGATCCCCGCCCCGCAGAATGCTTAAGGTAAGGTCAGGCCATAATTTAAGTTGACAAGCATGACATGGAAATTCCCTTTGGTCGGCAGCGGCAGCGGCAGCAGCCGTTACCATAATCAGGCTAAAACACATGGCCACCCCGCACCGTTCCCCCGCCTTTTCCGCATGAGCGTGTGTGTGTGTGTTCGTCAGGAGCTTCAATTCCATGCCAGAGTCGCCTTGGGTGACCAATTCCTTTGAGAGCGGATTCCCCTCTCCCCGGGAACGGGCACTCCAAGGACCCGGGCCCTCCCCTGCTGCTCCCGTTTAATTAACACATGCTCAACGAATCGTAATTTAATTGCGGCTCTGATGTCTCCCACGGGCTTGTTCTGAGTCACACAAAAATTGAAGACATTAATGGGGGAACCAGAGGCCGCTGCCCGAAAACAGGTAACGATCGTTATCAATTTATGGGAAATATTAATAAGTTGTTTCTTTATGCCGTCTTGTCACTTAATTTTTTTATTTTAATGGCTGTTATTACGAAAAGAATAAATATTTATGGTAACCTAAAACCAAGTCTTGCACTGAGAAATCGGATAAAATTTTTCATTTCAAAGCCTATTTAATCTTCAAAGAGAAGACAGGCCTCAATTTATTCCAAAGTTATAAAGCTTTTATTTCATTAAAAATATATGAAAGAAATTTTATCAAATCCGAAATGTTTTAATTTTTTTGGTAAAGGAATAAATGCTTTTAGATTTAAAAAGAATATTATTATAAATAGTTTAGAAAATACCCCAAAATTTACAAATAATAAACTTATTTGAATTTTCAGTTAATAAAGTTAATTTAAATCAGTGTAGTGATATTTGAATAGAAAATGGGAAATTAAGCTGTTAAATCAAATAGCAATAATCTATTAATTAGTGGAATATTTTTCAATATTACTACACAAAGTACAAATGAATGTTGACCAAATAAATTTGTTTGGCCGCATATTATTAATCTAACTCTGATCGAGATCATATACGTTTAGATTGCTGTTTATTCCAATGTCAATGCATGCGTACGTATATGGCAAGTGGGACGTGCACACACAAATATGCGTGGTATGACCACCGACAAACTGTAATATAAGCATAGAGCAGCTTACATCTTAATTACATATCGCATATTAATACAATATTAATCATACGCCCTGTTGACACGCGTGCTCCTCCCTCGACCAAGCAGCAAACACGTGGCCAAGTCCAGCGCATTCCTCATGCAGGGTCCACTATATATATTTCCACAATATATACGTATATAGTATATTATAGTAGTATGGTATAGTACACATGTGTGTGCGGGGGCGTGTGCATATCTAAGCTATGGCCAGTGTTTTGTTATGAGTGGACAAACCAACACAACAACGGCAACAACACATATGGCGTTAATAAACTTCTAGCCCGGTGCCTGAGGGTCCAACAACTAAAATGAACTCGGGGAAGAAACCAAGGGGACTGGGAACTGAGAACTGGGGAATGGGCCATACGGTTCCAGGATGGAGACTCCTTCTGGAGTCCTTCCGTAGCACGTTGGCTTGTGCTTTATGGCCGCAAGTCAATTCTCTGACAAAATGCCAAGCATATTTATTTATTTACTTTTGCTTCCAGGCAGACCAGCGAAGACCGCTGCCGCCCCCAAAAACTTCCCATCCTCCCCAGCTGTTTGTATTCTCGTCCACGTCCAACGCTCTCGTCTCGTTTTGCGTCACTTGCCAAGTGTTTATTCAACTTGCCCCACCGAGTATATGAAAAAACAAAATAAAGCACAAACAACAATGTGTCAGTGGGGAAAAAGAGGGCATGGCAGCACAGCGATGCAAAATTAACTCAACCGACACCACCGAAATTTCTTCGAGTTGTTTAGACTTTATACAAAAACCAAAATTGCATTGCTAAATTCCTTGAAATAATATTTAGCATTCTAAAATATTTTGTAGAATTGTTAAAACTTAAATATCACTTTTAAGATTTGAGTTGCTTCCAGGCCAGAAATAAAATAGACGTCTGATATGAAAAACAATGATTTTCCATTTTTAAACGACCTTCCAAGACATTGGATAAATCATATTTAATATCTAAAATATATCCAGATATCGAATATGGCAAATAGAGTGCTTGGTATCTTGTATTTTGATGCTGGAGCACTTATTTCTAGAGCTATTAAAAGCTAAAAACTACTGCTAAAAGCAGAGTCATTTTATGTGATACCGAAAAACCTGTCTTAGGATTGTATAGACCTAAATTTCAACTCAATCATTTCAGCAATTTGTGTTCTATAAACCAACTAAAGCTGCCTGAAACTCAGGTCCAATCTGCTACCAAAGAGCCTGTGCGTCCGTGTGTTGATGAAGATTACGTCAGCTGAAAAGTTATTGTTTTGGCCCGGCATTCAGGAAGGCAACTAAAGACAGGAACCGAGTGGGTGTGATGGGCTGGGAAGTTACCATTTATATACATATAGTTTGTGTCCTGCACCGGACGAAAAACAAAGAAAAAATACAGAGAGCAACGAAACGGGCGCAGGAAACGTGCGGCATGTGGGCAAACTGTCGTCATTTATTTTCGTTTTTCGGTTTCTCCCAAATAGTTTCGGCATGAAAATTGCGGCCGAATCGAACCAAGGATGCTGCTATCTAGCAAATATCTAGCAAAAAGCCTCTGGCCAAGCGTGAAAGTGACCAGCAGGAGAAACCCGAAAATGAAACATTAAAAATAAATCTAAATTGTAGCTTCACATTTTTTTTTTATGTCCCCATTGCCCAATAGACAATAGAAATTCAACATTAAATTACGGACATATTCGGAGCACTAAAGAAACAAAAGTGCCACTGGTGCATTTTCTGTACGACAGCGACGCACTGAAAATTTTGAGATATTAAATGAATTTTCAACTAGTCCTTGGGTCCCCAGTTACAGTTGTCAAATCCTCTTCTCAAGCTCCTCGTTTCCCTCTCGGCCCCTTCTTAAAATTTCTGGGTGCATAGTTTTCGGTTATTTTTTTCGGGCTTCTCGACCACATGGTGACATCCCAGCCAGGAAGTCGATTCGATGAGGGGCTGGTGTCGAGCAGGGGGCGTGGCACGCAATTAGCCAGGCTGTCAACCAAAGTGTTTTCTCTTCCTTTTTTCTCGCATCTCTCGGTCTCTGTGTGTCCGTTTGCATTAGAATTGCTAATTGCCAAAAGTTTTCCAGCTGCAACATTTCTTCTGCTGCTTGAATGCAATCGTTGTCGCTAACATCCCCATCAACGTCGTCATCCATATATATATATGTATATAGAGTAAAATTCGTATACATAGATATTTTGGATAGTCCTCAAATTGAGACATCTGTTTCGAGTGCAATGCCTTAAGCTTTAAAATCACACTTTATTTTCCTGTGATACATGAAGAAAAAGATTTTGGGAAAGCATTTCCGACGTGCCATTCATTTTAATTCGATTAGTCGTAATATTTTAAAGTTTTTCATTAAAGCAAAATCCAATGCAGATGCAATTGGAAAGTTTTGCATAAGAAACGAAGGATAAATTGCCAATGCGGAGTGGCCACTTCCTCTGTCCGTTTTCCCCCCATTCCCCACATCCACCGGGAAAACCACGGAGCAAGAGACAAACTTTTCAATAGTATTCCACTCTTCCTGTCTCTATTCCCGGTGCTGCCAATGTCTGGCCAATTTTTGTGTGTTTTGCCAACAACTTTGTTTATTATTTTGTTTCCTTTATTTTTTGTATTTTTTTTTTTTGCAACTTTATGCGGCAACTTTGGCCAAAAAGGCGACTCTGTGGGCGTGTCACAGTTGTTAACGAAGAAGAAGCAGGGTGTAGAATTGTAATATTTTCAACACAAGACTCAAACATACATAAACCGAGGAGAAAAGAAGCCACCACAATGAGAAACATTTTGAGCAGGGAATGGAAATGGAAAATGACAATGGAGCTATGGAAACTTGCCATTCATTCATTACTTAAAAAGGGAGCAAAAGTCTTGATTGGATCTTACGACTATATAATACCTAGTGTATGAATTCTTCGAGAGCTTTGTAGAAACTTTATAATTAATTTCGAAAAGGAGCTTTAAACCTTTATTTGACTCAGAAAGTTTCCAGAGAAGTAGGAAGCATATAAACAACTTTCAACCAATTATAAGGTTAATGCTTAACAACGTTTGGTAGTTGGATACACAAATAATAAGTTCAAAATATATAAAAGCACTTTCTTGAACGCATTAAGCTAATCTTTGCCTCAGCTAACTCCCCTTCTAATGATATTAAAACCAGTTTAGTTACACGCCATAAAACAATCTACCCTTGCACTTAATAACTACCAGGTATAAGAACTACCAAAATTTGCGTGGAATTTGCCACAGCAATCGTTAAAAAACTTTGTCCAAAGCAACAGAAGGAGGGGAGAAAGAAAATCGGGACAGACAAAGAGGAGAAAACAAAATAAAATGAATGGAAACTTTATTTTTACAACTAATTGGCAAACTTAAATGTAAGATTTCATTTTATTTGTGGGCCACGACAAAGCTGTTTGAGGCTTCATTAAAAATTACATTTTTCCAGCTGGAGGCGACAGGAGCACACAGAGCCCACAGGCAGTTCCCGGTGGTCAGGGAATGGGAAATGGAAAATGGGAAATGGTAAAGGGGAAAAGGAAGTCGGCCGGCGAGTCCTTGTCCTGTGATGTGGCCAAGGCAATTTATGACCAACTGGCAATGAAAATATTTGCCACATAAATAAAGCGTGACAAGCGGGAGGGACACATTGACAGGCGATACATGATGGGTGGGGGTTGAGGGGTCGAAGGACATCGAAGGAGTCGAAGGATATAGACGACGGGGTCGCTTACCTGGAAACTTGTACAGGGCCACCTCGTTGCAATTAATCTCAATCAGTGTGCTTGTCTCGTTGGGCAGCCCTGCGCACTGGCACATGGAGTTGAGTGGACAGGCGTATAGGATGTCCTGCTGCTGGGATCCCAGCAATGCGGCGGATCCCCTGCCTCCGGACGAGGGCGGTGGACCCCTTCCCGAGTTCCTGGGCCGCCGATGACCTCCGCCGTCGAACTGCCAGCAGTGCGTGGAGCTCACCAGGCACGAGATCAGCACCAGAAACAGATGCATCCTGGAATGGAAAGTAAAGCATTTGGCGGTTCAGACAGCTGCGATCCATGGATACCATCTTATAATCTAGTGGGCCCCCAGTTTGCCTTCATTTCATCACGTTGGCCCACATAAATCCACCGTGTGGAGACACCTTGCCCGGGGGCATTTGTTTATTCGCTGCTGCTTTGCATAAATCACACGTTTGGAAAGCGAAAGCAAATGAAATGGCATAAAATTAACGTTAGTCCACACGCGTTGAGTTCGCACAGTGGCATCAAAAAAGAAGAAAAGTTTTAGATGAGAAAGGAAAAGAAAACACGACATTTTCCTTAACCAATGTTTTTAATTACTCGCATAAAACAAAAATATATATTTCTTTTTTAATTATATTATATAGTATTCTTAAAGAAATACTTCTAAGAGCCTGTCGTTTGGCTAAAATGGGTCAACCTACTTTTATTTGAATTTAATAACTTATATGTATAATTGATTAGCCAAAGTCGTGTGAATCCTGAAATTCTCAAAAATCTCGTTCATAAAACCGACGGATAAAAACAATTAGCTTGATTTAATTGTTTTCATAATACTTTTGAACCAATGTTGATATTTTGGCTTAAGTGAACTCCCCCTTCACTCTGCACCCAACGCGCCAAACGACAACGGAGGAAGTTTTCGACTAAAAGCCTGCGACAACTCATGCAAATGAGTCGCAGTCGTGTGACACAGTCCTCCTAGCCCTCCCTTTCATCCATTGCCATGCAATCTTTCATACACATGGAAATGCCTAGCCTTAAAAAGAAAAATGCACCGTGAAAAAACTTTCTAACTTCAAAATAATGACCTTGAATTCAGCAAGGAAATGTAAAATTATTGCCAATTAGATCAATTATTTGAAATACTTTCTTATCCATAAAAAAACTTCAAATCTTATTAAAAATCCCGTTTTGCCTTAATTAAAGTACGACATCTTAGTCTTTTTTTCTATCTGTGTGGATGAAAGCTAGAAGAAAGTGCGCAACCACAACACGTAGAGGCCTCAACAGCCGCAGAGAAGTCGCATATAAAACATGTTTCATGTACGCTAGATGTGTGATGTTTATTTGACACGCCAAAGTATATAATAACAAATAAAAACTTTCGGCTCCGCCATGGAACCTCACCATACCAGACGATGGCGACAAGGACGAGTACGGCCCATTAGCACGATTGTTGAGCTTTAAGACTCCCGACGGTTTACCTTGAGTGTGCCAGTGTGTGTGGGCTTGGGTATGGGTGTGGGCGTGAGTGTGGGTACCTGCGCACATTACGACCAGCCATAAAACTAGGGGCCAAAAAAGAAACTGAGAGCCCAGGTAGACTGGCACTCAGTCCCCATCCCGTTCCAATTTGCCTAAGTCTGTAAGTTATTTCCAGGCAGCTCGAAGCTTCGGATAAGTCATATATATTAGAATACATAATGAAATATGGCCAAAAATATATGATGTGGGAGGTCTCGATAACGGAAACTATACGGTTTAAGTTTCAAATTGGCTTCAAAGGAAAAATCCAAATCATGAGCTGGCAAAAAAAACGAGGAGAGTGTCTCTACTTTCCGCTCCCCTGCAACTTACTTTTAAAAATATCTTATTTATAATGTTTCTGGCAAAAAATAATAAGATGTGTCGTCCATCTGTTAACATTGTTAACAAAGGAAACTCAAATATTTATCTGAGTTGTAGTAGGATATTAAATAATCAATTTTTCCAAGTAAACGTGAATTTTGGTTAAATATTCAAGCAACCTGTTTGAGGTTGCATTATTGCTAATGAAAACACTAAACATGTTTTAAAATTTACTGATATATTACAAGAATTTTAATATCTTTAGAATGTTCAATGGTTTTTTAAGCAATTACGTTTTTGTAGCTTAAATTTGCAATGTAAATGTAAATAATTTAGGGCTGCAATAAAAAATAATTGTGAACATATCAAAAAGAAAATGAGTTAAAACCATATGGAATATCCGCCAAATGAATGATTAATGGTGCTCTGTGTGAACAGACTATAAGTTTTTATCGAAAGCAATACTTTAGGCTTACCACAGTGTTGCACTATTCAAACCAGGGCAACCCGGAAAAAATGATTGCTTTTAATGAGATGTCAATGTGTTTTAATGTCAGTCTGTCTGGAAAAAATTGTAAAGCTGCATAGTCAAATTATCACAATGGACATGTCCCTTGGTAAGTGCTTTAATTATTTGCTATTTTCGTTTACTTTCATCGTGCCTTTGCCAGACGAATACTACGAGCAGTGTATGGCTCCCAAACTGCATGAAACTCATGGTTACGGTCCGTTTCCATCGCAAGGGCATTTGCGACGTCACTACCACCGCATGCACTACTTTGGGTCCGAGTATCTCCAACATCGAACTCCTAAGCAGCCTGTCCATAGAAATCTGGCCAAGAAATCCAGTGCTGAAAACGCGGAATTGGAGAGATTGTGCGAGGTGTTGAGCAAAATTTTCGTCGAAATGCCAGCGAGAGCATATCCCTCATTGGGGATGAGATACCAGAAAAATGAAAAGGCAGCAGGGCCAAATGAAAATGATACCACAAAATCAACAAATTGGAAGACAGTCCAACAGGAAAATAGTACAAACGCAGTACAAGCAAAAGCATCACCTTGGGCATAATTATGTAATAATGCCAAATTTAATAAAAGAAGAACCAACCAATAATTCGTCCAGTTCGGAATTTGTCCTAATGATTTTATCCACATTTATTCTCTTAAATCGTAACTTGATATCCTAAACTTCTGATTACCGAGTATGTTTGCCATATACTTGGCTACGTATATTATTTTCTCAATATAAATTGCTATCGTAATTTGCAAAGAAAAAAATCATTTTAGCATATAACTATTTGATGAAACAATCAAATAAATATGCAATTTGGATGGCATGCCTTCTACCCATCCATCTTGTGGTTCGATTTAATAAATATGTTCTAATTTAATAAATCTAATCTTGTCAGGCAAATCGCCAACTGTTTACTTAATCTTGCGACTGTCATTTGCCATATGCACTTAACATTAAATTCCGACCAGGCAGCGAGAGAAAACCAATCAGAAAAGCTTCAGTTTGCCGCCCGGCACTTTTGCTGATTGTTTTTCATTACGCTGATGGTGACAAATCGAAGTCTCTTTTCCTCGCTTGGACCATGTAAAACAAATGATACATCACACAGTTGAGTGCGTATATATAGGTGGTATCAACCTTTATGCACCTTCCGAACACACACATGCCGACTTTGTTCCCACTCGAGGAAGTCAGGATGTTGGACGACGGGCGGCAGAATAAAACGAAAAAGATAAATATGTCGTAAAAGTTTTTTATTTGCGTTTTATTTATTCTTTTTCTTTTTTTTTTGATACAGAAAATGACTAACTTGTTGGCTGACAGACAAGCAGCAAACAGGCATCGCTTTGGGCCAAGAACAACTGGGGTCAGAATTGAGTGGGGAGTGGAATTCTTGGGGGATAGAGACAGTCGAGAACGGCGTCTGTCACGCACACACGCCTCCTTCCGCCCCTCCGTCCCTCCACCCCTTCCCCCTCCTTCGCCACAGTTGGACGCAGCAGATGCGGGCGTTGCTTCCATCTGACCCTCAACCTTGTCGGACGAAACTTTTTAAAAACAAGCGAACAAAATTGTGGGACAGAACATGTTGAAAGTTCGCTGAATCAGGGATACTCTTAAAAATAATTTCAAAAAGCAAATCACAGATTTTTGAAATTAATTTAGGACTTAAAACATTCCTTATTAATTTTATTTCCATTTAATTTTCTGTCTTTCAAAAGAAACTATTCCTAGGCAACTATTTATTATTCTGTATTCCTTCAATCAGTTTGTTTTCAGCTCATTACTTATTCATGCGACAATTCCCGTAAAGTATCCGATACCCTTTGCTCACACTTTAAGAGCAGGCCAAAGAGCAAACTACACAATTCAGTGTGAGTGGCCCACAACCACTGCCGCTATCGCTGAGGAATCCTTTGCTGCCATCATCTTCCTTTGAGGAGCAGGACGAATGCCACGAAAAGGTCAACAAGAGGCGGGCTGCAAGGCGGGGTAGACCGCAAGTTTTTATTACGCATATAATGCCAGCGATTTGCCCAAGGAGTGAGGGCTCACCGAGGTCTGCATCATTTTTATACTTTTAATTTTTTATGCCGGTGACACAGTGACATGAAATGTCAACGAGCTGCAAAACAAACAGCAGCAGGAGCAAGAAAGTCCTGGACAAGGACCAGGATAAATATGATGAGCGTCCGTTGGGGATGATGTCCTGCTAGTTGACGCCGACGGCGACGTCGACCGCGACGTCTACTGCGCAGCGCAGCGCAGCATGAAAAATGCTGAAAAACGTAGCATACATTTGGGAGTCGTTGGCTCGCAGTTTCTCCGCCCGTTTCGCTCGCTCTATCTCTGTCGAGAATTTGCGAGTTTGTGCGATAATAACATATGTAAGTTGCCTCCCCGCACACAGAGCATGCATATGTGAGCATGTCGGTTTTAAGCTCAGCCCCATAAGCTGCTCCCATTTATGTTGCTGCTTCCGCCCACGAAAAAAAAAACCAAAAAAAAATATTTTAAAGCCGTCGCTCAGACGGGGATCAGAACTTTAAATGAACTTAACAAACTGTGAGCGTGTATTTAACGCAGCCAAACATGAAAAGGTTCTTGGGTGCGCGATTACGTGGCAGTAGGTGTGCCTGTATCCTTTGTATACAGAAGCATGCGCCTTATGTATAATATCCTCCAGATACATTACAGTTAATCGGCGTCAAGTCAATTAAGGATACGGTAAAGTTTTCCTAGCCCTTTTCGTGCAGGAGTATTTTAAGAAAATGAGTGGGTTAGTATATCCTTGCAGAAGACTTAGTTTTTGTTATTAAGTAATAGAGACATTTCGTGTTTTATTAAACCGCACTTAAAGCCTTACATTTATTTAAATCCATGTTCGAGTTATAAAATATTTAAATGCCTGTCTCAATTTGGAAATACCAGCCTTTATCATTTATTTATAATTTAGATATTTATGTGGATATATTCTTTAGTCCTCATATCTGGCTCTCAAGGCAAATATCATTCTACCAATTTTTCACTATGTAGCCATCCATTCAACTGGTTGGGATTTGCTGGCAAACGTCTAAGGCCACTTCTTGGCCATATCTCACACCTTGACAGATGAAAAGCGATCCATCTTCGGCATTGGACCTGCACATATGCAATGGGTTTTATGAAACCATTAGCAGAACGGCGCAAACTTTAAGATACATTCATCTTGCGAGGCATTTTAAAAAGAAACTTAGCCCCAAAACGAGTTTGGTTCGGAACCGATTGCCTGGCCATATAAATCACACCCCAGCACATCGGCACAGACACACAGACTGGCACAGTTTAGTCAGTTCATTCAAGTGTCGTTTATCGCTTTTGCTATTTTGGCAGCGCCTTTCCGTGAAACTGCTTTTGGTCATAAATATGCCAATTTGGCAGAGCGACCCTCACGCCCTCTCTTAACAAGGTGATTCCCTGGCAGTCGAGCTAACCAAAAAACCAGCCAGTCAGTCAGTCAACCAGAGTCAGTCAGAACAATAAAAATAAAATTTATTACTCAAAGTTTATGGCATAGCAATAAATGTATCTTTTCTGCTGAGTACCCCAGTATCTGTATCCATAAATATGCACCCATTCGCACCTAAGTGCGGAATTCGGGGAGCGTGGGGGAAAGTGCCACATGTGGCGCCCAGTCAACCACCCACCTCCCACGTTCGAAATTATTATGTTGCCAGCCAACCACCCTTCCACCCAAAGCACAACCCTTGATTCAAATCCCATAAAGTTGTCGAGTGGCTGTTGCTGTGATAGTTGCTACTGCTGGCCGTTTTGGGTTGCTCTGAGCTAGCTGTTCGGCAATTGCCGCATCATTAATCTTACTCACGGAAACGGCGCTTAGGTCAAAGTTTTGAGTTTGGGTAATTTATCTTCGACTTGCCGCAATTATGTGCCAGACGGAGACGCAGTCTACGGCGAGGGAACGGAAATGGGAACGGTAACGGGGAAAAAAACTAGACAATTTTGCACCGTATGCTGACACCTCCGTTAATTCCAGTCCCGCTGGCAATCACCGACGCACCTGAACTTGAAACAGGATGCCCAGGACTCTCATCTATGGGGAGATCCTCGACGCTCTCGAAAGGGTTGCTCTAATAATTCTTTGCCTAAATAATTTAGCAGCAATTTCGCGCCCGCGGCACTAAAATTAAATTGAAGTGTTTACGGAAAGCACATGAATTGCTTATGAACGACGAACGCCAAACTATCCAAGGCCGTCAGATGGGTGGACTGGTGAACAGGGGGAAGGGGCTGAGGGCGGGTTTTGGAGGCCTCGGGCGTGTCATGTTGTGTGGTGGGCGTGGTCGGTGCTCCGATGTGTGGCGGCGCTTTGGATATATGTATTCCATGCTTATCAAGCAAATGACAGTGCACTATGGAAGCCGAAAGTATAGGCCGACAAACGAGTGATGACCAAGCAACCCTATCGTACATGCACAGTGGCTCTAGGTGACATAAATATTATAAACACCTTCATTTCTAAAATATGTTTAACATTACGAGACAAACCTCTCTCTTTATAAGTCCACTTAAGTCTCAAAAGAAAAATGTGGCCAATAAGCGATTAACTTAGAAATAGGCTCTAAGCACCAATCCAAAAAAAATCACGGCTTTAACCGAAATCCCTTCAATTTAAAACCAACAAAAGGATTTTAATATTAACAATTAATAAGTAATGTCTCATAGAATGGTAATATATTTAAATTCAGAATGAAATAATTAAATAAAGTAACAAGGTCCGCCACCTTGACCAAACATACAATTTTAGGCAACTAATTATAAATTGTTCTTAATTCGCATGACTTGCACATAGAAAATAAGAGATTATGATTAAGTCACAAAATGTTTCCTTGTTGTGTATTCACTGCGAATAATTAGAAAGAAGAGTAACTCTAAAAGTAATGAATAGAAATGGCTTTAAAAAAATCGGTTTCAGATTTAAAGTTTTCGCATAACATAGCATTCTTGCTGACTTAGCCATTCCAAGGATTAATTATTGTTTTCTTCGGGGCCCTTTTTGCCATGGCTTTATTTTCCGTTTCGGGCCACTGTTTCAGTATATTGTTGTTATTCTCCGGGCACACAGCCGCACAATTAATTGCGTAAACAAAACGCGACGGACGGGCGGGCATGAGCATTGAATTATTCAAATCATCTATAATTACAGCTGGCAACTCGCTCGATTGCCTGCTCCTCGCACTCGGCGCCCCGCCCACTTAGCCCACTCAGCCCATTCCGCCCAACGCATTTATCAATTAAATGCGAACGCAGCAGCAAATCCAGCAATTGCAACAATAATAGCATCAGCCACAATAACAACGATGGCAGTAGCAATGAGGACGTTGCTGGGCCAGCAATTAAATCATTAAAAGTTTGTCATAAATAAAGTGAGGCACTTGACAATTATTAAAATGAATTACATGGAAATGGAAAAGCGAGGGGATTGGGGGGAGCAGCCTAAATGATTGGCCCCAGAATCGATGGGGGCGAAAAAGGATTGACTAAGGGAAAATGCAAAACGATATATACGAGCTTTTAAATTTATGCCCTGCCTTTATGGCCGACCTCTGGGTTTATGAAATG